TTTTGTAGTTTTAGTAGAGACAGGGTTTCACCATGTTGACCAGGATGGTCTCGATCTCTTGACCTCGTGATCCACCCGCCTCGGCCTCCCAAAGTGCTGGGATTACAGGCTTGAGCCACAGCGGCCGGCCCCCCCCCCTTTTTTTTTAAGTTGCAGAAGATCACCACTTGATTCACAGGAATAAGCAGGGCAAAAAGCTTAAAAACAATTAACAAGAGTAGGACTTAATGACAAATGTATGATAAGCTTTGGAGCAAAATTCTTCACTTCAGGCCTCATTTTTGGTAAAAACTAATTATGAATAAACTTTAGTCTTATACTTGGTCTGATTATTTGCATAAAGGGCAACAAGAATGGTTATTTTTACATAGGCCTTTCGGATTGGCTTTGATGAAACTCTATTTCACGAGGAATTTCAGATTTCTAAAGCTGGTATCCTCTAATACCTGTGAGTTGAGTGATCCTCTCCTCTTGAGGTCTCAAGATAAACTCAGAGCTTCCAGACCTGTTAGAAAGTTATGTGTCATCCAGCCACAGTTGCTCACACCTGTAATCCCAGAACTTTGGGAGGCTGAGGTGAGCAGATCACAAGGTCAGGAGTTTGAGACCAGCCTGACCAACATGTTGAAACCCTGTCTCTACTAAAAATACAAAAATTAGGTGGGCATGGTGACAGGCACCTGTAATCCCAGGTACTCGGGAGGCTGAGGCAGGGGAATCACTTGAACCTGGGAGGTGGAGGTTGCAGTGAGCCAAGATTGCACCATTGCACTCCAGTCTGGGAGACAAGAGTGAGACTTCGTCTCAAAAAAAAGGAGTTATGTGTCTGTTCATTTACCAGTACCATGCTACTTGGTTACTGTGGCTCTGTAGTGTAGTTTGAAGTCAGGTAGTGTGATGCCTTCAGATTTATTCTTTTGGCTTAAGATTGCCTTGGCTATTTGGGCTCTTTTTTCATTCCATATGAATTTTTAAATAGTTTTTTCTATTTCTGTGAAGAATGACAAATTGCTTTGACGGGTATGGCCATTTTATGATATTGATTCTTCCTATCCATGAGCATGGAATGCTTTTCCATTTGTTTGTGTTATCTCTGAGTTCTCTGAGCAGTGGTTTGTAGTTCTCCTCATAGATCTTTCACTTTCCGTGTTAGCTGTATTCCTAGGTAGTTATTCTTTTTGTGGCAATAGTGAATGGGAGTTCATTCATGATTTGGCTCTCTGCTTGCCTGTTGTTGGCATGTAGGAATGCTAACGGTTTTTACACGTAGATTTTGTATCCTGAGACTTTGCTAAAAGTTGCCAATCAGCTTAAGAAGCTTTTGGGCTGAGACCATGGGGTTTTCTAGATATAGGACCATGTCATCTTCAAACAGGGTTAGTTTGACTTACTCTCTTCTTGTTTGAATACGCTTTATCCCTTCCTTTTGCCTGATTGCTCTGGGTAGAACTTCCAATACTATGTTGAATGGGAAAATATCAATTTTAAAACATAAGTATTTTTAAAACTTTTAAGTTCAACTTACCAGTCATAAAATTCCCATCATAAATCTGGTGAATGCTAACATTTTTTAGAAACAGGGTCTCACTATGTTGCCCAGGCTGGTCTTCAACTCCTGGCTTCAAATAATCCACCCATCTCAGCCTTCCAAAGTGCTGGGATTACAAGTGTAAGTACCTGCACCCAGCCAAGGCGGCTTTAGTAATAACTAGTTGGTCTTTGGCCAGGCACAGCGGCTCACTCCTGTAATCTTAGCACTTTGGGAGGCCAAGGAGGGCAAATCACAAGTTCAGGTTTTCCAGACCAGCCTGGCCAACATGACAAAATCGCATCTCTACTAAAAATACAAAAAATTAGCTGGACGTAGTGGCAGGCACCTGTAACCCCAGCTACTCGGAAGGCTGAAGCAGGAGAATCACTTGAACTCGGAAGGGAGAGGTTGCAGTGAATGGGGATTGCACCACTGCACTCCAGCCTGGGCAACAGAGTGAGACTCCATCTCAAAATAAAGAAATACATACGTAAAATTATTGGTTGGTCTCTTTTCCAAATTAAAACTACTTTAGGCGGCTTATACTGCACTTGTTCATCCTATATATTTTATTTCCTTTTGTAAAGCAATTGGTTAATAAACCAGCCTCCCAAATACCTTTATTGCAAACTAATGAAAGTAAACATATAAATACAGTAAAACTTAATTTTTTTTCATGTTCTGTTTGCAATGTCAATAAGAAACTTTAAAATTCTAAATCAATTATTCAACGACCCAATTTAAACTCAAATCTGCATAGGTATCTTTTAAGCCCTCTAATATGCCAATTTTAAACATTTTAAGAACCCGAAATGCCAAATATACATAATACAACATACACAGAATACTGTTAGTTTGATTCTCATAAGCATTTCCCCATGAAATTCTGTCTTTCTGAGGTGGAAATGTGACTAACCAATGGGTAGCCATTTGAAGACTGCCTTCCCGAGTGCTAAGGGTGGGAAGGGGGAGGTAACTCCTCAGGAGGCCGAGGAAGTTTCTCCACAAAGATTTTTCTTTTTTCTTTTTCCGTTCTTTTCTTTTTTTTTTTTTTTTGAGATGGAGTCTTGCTCTGTCACCCAGGCTGGAGTGCAGTGGCATAATCTCAGCTCACTGCAACTTCTGCCTCCCAGATTCAAGCAACTCTCCTGCCTCAGCCTCCTGAGTAGCTGGGATTACAGGTGAGAGCCGCTCCGCTAGTTTTTGCATTTTTAGTAGAGACAGGGTTTCACTACGTTGGTCAGGCTGGTCTCGAACTCCTGACCTTGTGATCCGACTGCCTCGGCCTCCCAAAGTGCTAGATTACAGGCATGAGCCATTGTGCCAGGCACTCGCAAAGATTATTCTTATGACCCCAACTACCAGGCCAAGCCCTTTTTTTTTGCAGCCGCTAATGTGGACTCCAACACTAACAAGATGAGGATGAGGTTGAGGATCAAATGGCCCAAGCTTAGGGATCAAGTCTGGGGCTTGAGTCGTATCACGACTCAATTTTTTTTTTTTTTAAGACGGGGTTTCACCATGTTGGTCAGGCTGGTCTTGAACTCCCAACCTCAGGTGATCCGCCCGCCTTGGCCTCCAAAGTGCTTGGATTACAGGCTTGAGCCACCACGCCCGGCCCTCAATTTTTTTTTTAGACAGTCTTGCTTTGTCACCCAGCTGGAGTGCAGTGGCGTGATCTCAACTCAGTGCTTCAACCTCCACTTCCCGGGTTCAAGTGATTCTCTTGCCACAGCTTCCCAAGTAGCTGGGATTACAGGCGTGTACCACCATATCCAGCTAATTTTTGCATTTTTAGTAGAGGCAGGGTTTCATCATGTTGGCCAGGCTGGTCTCGAACTCTTAACCGCAAGTGATCCACCCGCCTCGGCCTCCCAAAGTGCTGGGATTACAGGCGTGAGCCCCCACACCTGGTTCATCACTCAGTTTTTAAGTCCCTGTGTCCAATCATTCCCCATTGTCCGGCCATTTGTCAGGATTCAATGTGTCGTATATGTACTACTTCTTTTTTCTCTGAATTCTCTGATTCTGGAGCTAGACTGCCTTGGGTTGCATTCTGGTCTGCCAACCATTCGTATATGTGACCTTAGGAAAACATTTAACCTTTCTGTACCTCTGTTTTGTTGTCCACAAAATGAAGGGAATAAAAGTACCTATTCTCAGGATTGGTCTAAAAGTTAAGAGATAACACGGGGCCGGGCGTGGTGGCTCACGCCTGTAATCCTAGCACTTTGGGAGGCCAAGGTGGGTGGATCACCTGAGGTCAGGAGTTCAAGACCAGCCTGGCCATCATGGTGAAACCCCATCTTTATAAAAAAATAATAATAAATTAAAAAAAAAATGACATAACACGGTAACACATGTAAAGCCCTGTAGAACAATGCCTCAACAGGACATAGGGGCTCACACCTGTAACCCTAGCATTTTAGGAGGCCAAGGTGGGCAGATCCCTTGAAGTAAGGAGTTCGAGCCCAGCCTGGCCAACATGGTAAAACTCTGTCTCTACTAAAAATACAGAAATCAGCCAGGTGTGTTGGCGGGTACCTGTAGTCCCAGCTACTTGGGAGACTGAGGCAAGAGAATCACTTGTATCTGGCAGGCAGAGGTTGCAACTGAGATCGTGCCACTGCAATCTAGCCTGGGTGACAGAACAAGACTTTGTCTTAAAATAAATAATAAATAAATAAATAAAATAGGTCCGGGTGCAGTGGCTCACTCCTGTAATCCCAGAACTTTGGGAGGCTGAGGCAGGCGGATCTCAAGGTCAAGAGATTGAGACCATCCTGGCCAACATGGTGAAACCCCATCTCTACTAAAAAACAAAAATTATTACTGGCAGTTAGCACAAGAAATAAAGAGAGAAATTAAGCAAAATATAATTTAAAATTAAAAAAAAGAAAAAGAAATATAAAAATTAGCTGGGCATGGTGGCGTATGCCTGTAATCCCAGCTACTCGGGAGGTTGAGTCAGGAGGATCCCTTGAACCCGGGAAGTGGAGGTTGCAGTGAGCCAAGATCATGACACTGCACTCCAGCCTGATGACAGAGTGAGTCTTCATTTCAAATAATAATAATAACAATAAGCCGGGCGAGGTAGCTCACACCTGTAATCCCAGCACTTTGGGAGGCTGAGGCAGACGGATCACCTGAGGTCGGGAGTTCGAGACCAACATGACCAACATAAAGAA